CCCTGGGCAAAGAGCAGGTGGGGGGGGGGGGCTGGCAGGGGAAGGGAGGAATGCTTGTGTGGACTGCGTGCATCTGCTGATAATACTGAGCTTTTCAAATCTCCTTCTCCCTGCTTCTCTATACTGTCTGCAGCAAACTGACATGTACTACATTCATTGCAAACCAGGTCATTTCTCACACCTCTCTCTGCCCCTGTTGAACACTGACAGCAAGCCAGCAGCCAGCAAGGAGCTTATCACAACATAAAACTTAATCAGCCCATCAAGAAAACAAAGCCTCTTTCTCATTAGTTCAAGCTCTTCTTAAACAGCTTTTTGAAAAGCATTTTTAAGAAATAATGGAAGGACATTACCAGCTGACCTGTTGATTAGCTCCAAAAAGCCCTAAACGGACACTGTTCTGTCTGCCTTTGTTCCAGTGAAATTGGAGACATGCGCGCGCGCACACACACACACACACACACATCTGAGCACTAGCTAGCAAGGGGGCGGCATGACCATGACCAGATGCTGGCTGGGGTTCATGCTGTGGGAGAGTGAGAAATCCTTGCTTGAGCAGTGAGCAGCCAGAGGGCAATGGGGCAGAGAGAAGCCAGGCAGATGCTGCTGTGCCTGCCGTCTCCACCTCCTTCTCAGCCAGCTGGAGCTCCGGCTAGGGAGGAGAGGAGCAGGGCCAGCCCTGCTCTCTGGACGAGACAGCCCAGCTCAGCCCAGGGCTGGAAAGCACGGTGGGATGCCACAGGACTCTGATTTAACTTAAACTAGGAAGGGGTCTGGGACTGAAGTTCCATAAACCAGTTTGACCTAAATAAATGAAGTCTGATACTACATTAAGCCAGGTTTATGTTAAACCAGTTCCAGCCATTTTGAAACTGGTTTAATGTGCAATGAACTTCTGTTCTATTACAAGTTTAAACCAGTTTCTGATCATTTAAACTGGTTTATGTGGAACTTCTGTCCCTACCCCTAGACACAATTCAAAGGAAGATTTGCATGAGAAACCCAGATTTCAAATAGGAATCTTTAGTATCAAAAACTGCTATGGATGCCATGGATCCACACTCTAGAGGTTTCTCTAGTACCCTAAAGGTAGATGGTGGGGAAGGCTGTGTGGAATGTCCTGGAGGCAGTGACCATTAGTGAGTGACAAGAGAGGGGGCACCCTGTGAGGGGAGAAGGATGGAATGGAGGTCCTCAAGGGAGGGTGACCCTGGGAGATTTTCACAGGAAGTTTTGAGGGCTGATGGCAGTCTGCACGTAGGGTAAGGGTTTGATCAGTTTTGTTTTACCACACTGCTATCTAAGTATTTGATCACTTTTTTTTTTTTTAAATGTAGTTTGTTCTTCCTTATAATAAACACTTTTGTTTTTCTGTTACTTTTCCAAAGTGGTTAATTATGATTTCTGGGCAAATCAATAACCTGGGCATACCCATTCAGCAGAGTGGTGGGGACAAGGGACCAAAAGGCTAATACAAT